GACAGCCTTGGCGATGGATGGTTCCCATTTAGTACGGAATCATGGCCTCGTAATCGGCAGTGCGGCGGGCCAGCACCTCCACATTCTTCGGGCGAACAATGCCGCCGTTGCGGGAGCTCTTCTTCGGGGGAGGGAGCGGCTTGCCAGCCTTCTTCGCTGCCTGGAAGGCCACAAAGTCCTTCTGCTTCTGCTTGAAGGCCTCCTGGCAGCGCGACTTGCGCACGTGCTCAAAGCGCACGCAGATGCGCTTGCGAATCGTGCGGTTTCGGACTGGCTTGTTGACAATCACGCCAACGCCACGAGGGGTGACGTTCCAGACAATGCCCGTGCGGCCGTGGTAGTACTTATGCGGCATCCCGGCCCGCACGGCGGAGTCCGCCACGACGTCGACGTAGTCGCCGACCTTGAAGTTCGTCAGCAGGGTGCTCACGGACGGCACCCCGTGCTTGCGGAACTTCTTCGCGAAGAGGTGGCGGGTGCCACACTTGTAACCGTAGGAGTGCACCATCGTCGGTCTAATCTATAGTGCTCGCCACAACAAGAAAAGGAAAAACAATAATCTCAAATATAAACACACGACACGCCGCTGCAGTCGCCCTGGACGACGCGCATGGCGCAGGCCGATGGGATCCACCGGAATCCGCCTCCCCCCACCCCCATCCCCTGCGCACCGCAACACCACCCACGTGCCCCGTTACCGCTGGTGTCGCCGATGCGCCTGAAACAGCCTCCACCGAATGGTGGCGGCCAAGCAACGTCCATACATACACAGAGAGAGAAAGAGAGAGATGATCTTGATCTACTAGAGGCTACAGGCATTAGGTTGAAATGCCCAGCTTAAAATGAAAAACAAATTGCTCTAGTAGATCATATTTTCCCTGCACTTGTCGTCTGTTCCTCACCTGTCAAGAGCACGCAACTACAGACATTCATACATGCACTCACTCACACGCACCAGCACCACAGCGGCAAGAGAGCCAAAAAAAAAAAAAAACGGAAGAAGGAGGAGGAAGAAAAAAAGACACTATTTGCATCAATTGCAGGGTACCACTAAAAGAAAGAAAAAAGGATAGTTCAGCAAGACCAGTCATTGTTTACTTAGTCTCATCTGGTCCCACATGTCTCCCAGGAATTTTCTCAAAAAAAAAAAACAGTGATAACAATACATATTGATGCCTCTTCAGCGCCAACTGTGGCTTTTCGTCACCTACGATAACCTCCGCCTGATCCTAGTGGGTCTCCGCCCTGCGGGCCGGCTCACTTTTCACCCTGGCGCCCTGCTGCGTTCTACGTAAAAAAAAAAAAAACTACCGACATAAAAACCGTCTCGCACACTGGTATCGGCCGTGCAGCTTTCGCGTCGCGTTACCGCATTCGTCCACGAAAAATCAGTATAGCGATGCCCAGAAGCAGAACGAAGAAAACAATCGAAAGTACGACGGGGATGACAATTTCCCACTTTGAATGTCCAGCTTCATGATGTAAGTGTTTGTTTTTATTTACACAGGCCGCAATGTCTTCCCACGTGTCCGACACCATGCTGCAGGCAATGGATGCCCGGCACCACAAGTCACAGCTCTTCTTGGGAAACAAATCGTCGTTCTCCACACCACCCGCACGCAACGTCAAGTATTTTTTCCACAACTTGTCATCAGTAATCAGCCTCATTGCAGACTCCTGCAGCGACGAAATATTGGTCAAATCCCCAAGTACATCTTCTACAAGAAGCCCATTGGTCCAAGTACCGTTGTTGAGGTAGCGCTGAATGAGGCTTCGCAAGCTGAAGTCCTCGTCTTTCAGGTGTGCAATGAAGTAGGAGGGAATATTTTTATAGAGCGGCGTTGTGGCCGGGATGATGAAAGACGGCACACCTCCGGTGAGTGCCTGAAAGGAAAATAGATGTGTATGCCCGTACAGCTGCACCGTCACGGTACCCGAGTACTTTTTCATTAACTGGTTAAAACGGGTCTGGTACATTGGTTTCCAGTACATGTTTTCTGCGACGGCGGTAAAGCTGCCAGTGCGAAGTAATTTCCATAAATCAATGTATGGGGGGATATGGGTCAAAATGATGACCTTCGCATGCGCCTTCCGCGCATTCGCCAGCTCGGTAGTCAAAAACTGAAACTGACCACATGGATCGGCTTCAGTGTCTGGAATAGAAGGATGAACCTCGTGGCACCAGACAAGACTGTGCAGAACGATGACGCGCAAGGTAGGAGAAACAACACGCAAATAGTAAGCGCACCTCTCAGACTGATTGGCCTCCTCGGCTGTAAGTACCCCGTGTTCCTGCATGAGGATCGAATCCTCCTGGAAAATATTGGATGTGGGCTTGGTGACATCAAAGTAGTAGTTCGGCACCATATCGTTGTTTCCCATGGCAACCACCACAGTTGGTACATCTTTATGGGCCGTAGGCCGTGAAGCCTCCGCAAGCTTTTCAATGACATACCCAAAGGTATCATTTATGTGGTGTATTTGAACGGAAAATGCATGCCGTTGCGCGTCACCTGCCATAAATGTGTAGGTAGATGCCCCTGCAGCAATGTCTTTGCTCAGCGATGCGACCAGTTCCGGTGAGGATTCGCACCCTGGAGGACTCAGAGGTGGGCTTGGGACCCCGCATCGGCCAAAGCCACCAGTCTTCCCATATAAGGGATCGTAGTGTATATCCGATACCAAAGTGGCCTGTATGCCACTGCACCGCGCAGGAAGCACAAGCAGCAATGAGCACAAAAGCAGAAGCAAGCGTAGCATATGCATCTGCTTTCCCTGGGCAACTTTTTATCGACCTGGCGCAGGAAAGAAAAAAAAAAAAAAAAGGAAGCGAGGGTCACTGGTGTTGCCGCTTCCCACAGATGTCTGCCTCTGCTGCTCTGGGCAGTCGACGTGGCCGCCGCGACCTCACCTGGCTCTCGCATTTATTTCACTATCCCACCGTGGTGGAAAACTGCACACAAAAAACAGAGAGACGGCAAAAAAAAAAAAAGGTGTTGTGCTTCCTGAATATTCTCCTCGTTGCTGCTTCTCCGCGATTCGTTTTACTCATTTGCTTTGTTTTTTTTTGTCTTTTGTTTTTCATTTTTGTTGCGGTTGTTGCCTCCGTTTTTTAGCTGCTGTATTGTGTGGTTGGTGACAGCTACTCCCAAAGCAGCTCGCTCCCTGCCTGGGAGGGTGAGACCCACCGCACCACACACACGCTGACGTGGGACTGAGACCAAAACAGAAAAATAAAATTTAAAAGAAGCAAAAAAAAAAAAAAGACCCCGACACGGCCGGCAGACTCAATCGCACACAAAACACAACAGTGCGGGGCTGACGCCCAGCGAAGACAACGGTGCGTGCATGCGAAGAGTGCCGCAGTCGCTGGGGTGCACGGATCAAAGACACTTCGAAAGAGCGGAGAGAGACAACACAAAAAAAGAAAACAAAAAAAAAAGTAAGGCAAATGCAAATAAAATAAAATAAAAAAACAACAACAACAACAATCGGAAGCAATTGCATAAGAAAGGCAAAGGAAAACCATTCAAGCTCGCGGTGAAGAGGGGTGCATCAGCCCACAGAATTTACCCCAACCCCCACCCCCGTTCGTTAAACACCACATCTGTGTGTCCCGAAAACAACCTTTGCCGCCCTTTTCTCACCCCCACCACATCGGGTGGGTGAAATATAACCTTGTAGTGTGTTATCACGTAGCCGAAGGAAAGCGCAATCAGAAGAACACTAAAACAGGTAAAAACAATTGCAAGTATCAATCCGAGTCGCTGTGAGGGCAAATTAATATGAGCACAACGCTCAATACTGGATTTTCTGTAAAAACGAGAAGCACACACAATAACGCGACGGCACCACATTCCACAGGCACTCTTTTCAGTTAAGAAACGGCCACCAGCATGCATCGCCATCAATTTTTCCCACTTCTTTTCTTGCTCGGTGATAAGCAAAAAGTTCTCAGACAGGTACTCCCCCTTTTCCCGCATTGGCACCTCAATGACACTCTCTAAGCTTTCTCCCTCAACCCAGGTATTGTTTTCGCTCAGGTACCGCTGCGTGAGCGAAACCACCCGATTCGTACTACTATCCAACGTTGCTCGTAGGTAGGATGGATTGCTGCCCCTCACTGGAGAAATAGGGGGAACGATGTAAAGCGGCGGACCCACCTCAGGGGAGACCAGAAAGGAAAACGTGCTTGGGTGCCCAAAAAATTGGGCTGCAACGACAAAGCGGTAGGCAGCAATAATACGAAAGTATGAGTCACGGAAGTCCTCACGCCAGTAAATATTGGCGTCTGCAACACTTTCCTTGCGGAGGGCCTCTGCGACATTAATAATAGGTGGGGTGTCACCAATAACAATCACGCTTCGACGACGCTGTGTGGCCTGGTCAATGGCATTTTGAAGGAACAAAAACTGCCCACATGGGTCCAGCTCACCCACTCCAAGTACTGGGTGTGGTAGATTTGACCAAAGCATGGTGTTCAATGAAATCACTCGAAGTTTGGTGCCACTCGGGTCCCGGAAATAATACCCACAGGTTGCCATCCTTTTGTGCTCAACTGAATTTATAATACCTTTTGATTCCATCAGACCTAATAACCACAGAAACTGCGGCTGCCTCCCCTCACTGGTAAAGGAATCGGCAGGAACAACATCTTTGCCTCCGATAGCCACCTGTACTGAAAACGTCACACCTTCACCCCCTGCTACGCTGCTTGAATTACTACTATTGCCAATTACATCCAATACATCCCCCATCATGTTTTCAACTTCGGTCGTAGTAATGCTTTCTGTGCCGTGGCGAAGCAAGCCTCCCGTGATCAAGGTGAACGACCGGTTCCAGTGAGCCACGTCATCCATGACGGAGCGAATAAGCTTCATCGGGGAGTCGCACCCAGGCGTTGCTATGGATGGATGCCCCTGGTTGCACACGCCATAGCCGCCCGGTCTGCCGAAAAGTGCATCGTAGTTCAAATTCCCTAGAATGGACAAGGAGACTTCGAGCTTCTCCTTGGTAGTGCCCGCAGCCGCAGCGTCTACCTTCAGCCGCTGTGGCACACACAAAAGCAGTAGCAGCAGCACCACGCAAAACATCCGCAAGAGTGCACCACAAACCATCATTTGGGGTTTGATACTGTTGGTTGTATTTGGGTTTGTTTTTCCGTTTTCCTTTTTTTTTCTTTTTTGTTTTGCTTGTTGTTTTTTTTTCTTTTCTTCTTTTTGTACACTAGGGGAAGACGGGCCTTCAGCTGTGTGCCTGGCGCCCTACACTTGTACGCCGCAGCGCCTCCGCGCCACCCGGTCGTTCCCGCAAAATTACCAGAGGCGTAGCAGCTGACGAAGCCTAAAACGCGTCCGGCACGGAGAGACAACTGACGGCAAAAAAAAAGGTACAAGAGACGAGGCGGAAGCAGAAGAACAACGAACTTCCACCACCATGCGTTGGCTTCCACGAGCCACCAGCGACGGTCGGGGCGTGCCCGCAGGAGCCTCGCCCAGCCACGCAGACGCAGGGAAGTAACGATGACGATAGACGCGATACAAAAAAAAAAAGGGCGGAGTGCCGCCACAACGGCACAGCGCACACGCACACACCGGTCCCACGGGCTGCTGAACGCAAAAAAAAAGACACAAGTTGACACACCGCCACCACATAAACAACAAAGTAAAAGTAAAGTAAAATAAAATATAAATATAAACAAACAAATAAATAATAGGGACGTTTTGTGTTCATTATCGTTTCTTCACGCTTAAAACACAGCGAGTGGGCCACCGCTCATCGCGTGAGCAATGAACCACACTCTTCATGCCCCACAAGTGTGCCCACCGTCCGTAATATCGCTTCTTCGTCCTCTTGTTGTTTTATCCAAGACCGCCTCCACTACTTCTTCGCATTGGACATGTAAAGAGAAAGCAGGCTTCGTAAACCCCTAATCTCACGTTTAAGCTGTGTGGACTCCGCATCGGTCTTGAGCAGCTGGTTCCCCACCTTCAGCAGATCATCCTTGAGGTTCGCAACGGCGACATCCTGCGGTGTGGCACACTCGGGAATATCAGGCACCGCCAAGTACCGTAGTTCAAGTTTCTCCACTGTGGATTCTAGCGACCTCACCTGCTGCCGCAGCATCCCAATAACGGCATGGGCCTGTTCACATTCCGCCGCCTTTTTATTCCCCTCAGCTAACAATTCCAGCACCGTCCGCTGGCTCTCGCTAAGAGCCTTCTGCAAGTTTTTCACCTCCGGCGGGATACTGACCGAGTGAGTGAGTTGTGTGGAGAGACAGGCAGAAAAAGAATCCGCAGAGGCATGCACTTCTGCGGGCACAACACCAAAGTCAAGCGCCTCCGTTTGACTTTCCACCTCGCTTCTTGCCGCCCTCTGCCGCCCCATAGCATCGTAGAGCTCCTCCAACTCCTTCGTGCGCGCTCTGAGGGCGACCTCGCGAGAACCGAGTGTCGCCTTGAGACATTCTCGCTCCTCCGCCGTTGTTGCTAGTTCTTGTCGCAAGCTAGCAATGTTTGCCTGCGCCTCTGCCTTCCCACGCTCCCATGCTTCCTTTGCAGCAGCGGTGTTGTCCCGCTCACGCTCCAGCTCGCGAAGCACGTTGGCAACTCTCTCCTCCTCCTGTTTCTTCAGGTGGAGCAGTTTGACCTCCTGCTCACTGATCCTCGTGGTAGCCCGCACACGCGTGTCGTCAAGATGCATGCGCATTCCCTGCAGCTCCAGTTCGTACTGGCGCTGCACATCCACAAACCTGTTTGCCATCTGCACATTTTCAGCCCTAAGCCTTTCATTTTGTTCAGCGTAACTCTTGACAGAGGCGAGGGCTTCCCCCAGTTGGACTTTCATCTGAGCAAACTGTCCCACAAGGGCACCATTGGCGGAATTCAAGGCCTCGACAGCTTGACAGTACTTTTTTTGGCGAGCGACATCCTCGGCACGCTCCTCGCTGCCGGACGCATCGTCCTGACGTGGCTGAAGGCGAGTGAGTTCCTGTACTGTGTGTACTGCGGCGCTCTCTGCAAACTCCATCATTTTCGTCGCCTCCTTTTTCCAACGTCGCTCGCTTTCAAACGCGACAAGGCGCTGATGTGCCTCAAACTCTCTTGCCAGCCTTTCTTCCTCTAGTTGCATGCACTTTTGTTGCTTTTGGAACTCCCGATCACGCAATCTGCGCTCAACCTCCAGAATCTCCGCATGCCTCCTCCACACCCTACCTACATGCAGAGATGCGTCCGGTGGAAAAGAGGCGCCGTCCTGCGCCGCAGAGGGCGTACGCCGCGGACGCCACACCGTGTCATCTGGTTCGGGCAAGGCTGTAAACGCAGCTTCAACCGCAGCTGTATGTGAAGGCGCCTTAGGCGTGTTGGTTTCAGCACTTGTCTTCACTTCCAACGTCACGCCGTTGCTCGGCATGGCGACACGTGGCACTAGTGCTGGCGCCAATTCCTCCGCAAACAACCTCATGCGTGATACAGGACCCTTCAAGGCGTTTTCGATGCGGCTCTCGTAAGGCATGTTGTCGGAAGTGCAATTCCCTGCATTCATCTCTGTTGTCAGAGCCGCAGACTCTTTTGCTGCTGCAGTTGCTTCCTTCACCAACGGTTCTTTGTCAGTGACTTCCTGGTTCTCTCCACATGCGTCGTCGGCGTCGCCCCACATCGTTTGCGCAAGGCTCTTGAGAAGATGCTCCCTCTCTGCGGGGCCCACCTCGGGGCCGTAGTGGCAAACAAGAAGCTCGAGCAACTGCACCTCAGCGCCCATGTGTTTCATAAGCAGTTTCTCCGCCTCCGCGGCACGTGCAGGGTCGTATTTGAGAAGCTGACAGCGCACACGTTGCGTGATGACTTCCATGGGCTCAGTCTCCTTGATAAGTTCCGGACCAAACTGACACTCCAACACCTCCAGAAGTTCCTCCTCCCGCTTCTTGTATTGATCCACCTGTTCATCACAGTAGAGCATCTTGGCTGGGTCGCGCTGGGCATATATGGCACGCACACGTTCACGCGTGGTGCGTGGGCGTTTACCGTACTTCTTGCATAGCGCATCCAGGAACGCAATCTCGTTTCCGCGCCACTTCTCCAACAGGTTGTCCGTCCCAGCCAACATGGACTTGTCGTACCGGTGGAAGTAGCACTCAGCCACCTCCATGGCCTCCTCGCTCCTCAGAGGCATTGGCCCGTACTGAATCGAAAGTGATTCGGCCAGCCGCCTCTCGCTGCCGAAGTGTTGGCGAATGGCGTCAATGTATGAGCCTTCAATCTTGTAGAACCCGTACAACTGCCGCACCGCGTCGCAGTAGTGCTCAAGGGGCGGCAGCTTCGTCGCTCGTTCAGCAGTTTCACAGTTTTCGTAGACAAAGTGACCATCCGAGGCCTCCCACACCGGCCGCCAGCAATGCATCGGCAAGGGCTCAAACGGCAGCCTCTGCGGAACATACCGCTCGCCGTCGTCACACGGTGTCAATTCGTAGCTTGTCCCGGAGGTCGTCACTGTTGCTGGCGGGGATGGGGTCGCGTCGCTGTCCTTCGGCGACGGGTCAACCGCGGCCTCCGCCTCAATGTCGGGAAGCACCCACGACTTGGCGTTTGTCGCGACGTTGACGTACAACTGCCGCCCACTCTGCGGGTCCAGCGTGACGAAAAAGGTAAGGTTCAAGTTGTTTGGATGCGACTGCGGGACAAGACACTGCCGGCCCTGCACCTCACACACGATATAATGCGTCGACCCCGACGCGCGGGGCCCCACCTCACGCACCGTTGCCATCTGCGCAGCTTCCCACGGTGGTGGTGCACACAAAAAGCAAGCAAGGAATAGAACAACAACAACAACAAAAGAAAGATTTTATCTGACATCGAGAATAATAATAATAATAACCGCCACAAAAAGCAAAGCAGCGGCCACAAGACGTGCATGGATGCATGACTTGTTTCCTCACACAACTGCAAAAAGAGAGAGGCGAAGCCCTTGGCAAGGGCGTTGAAAGAAGCTTGTACGCAGATGAGGGGCACAGCGGGGTCCGCAGCTCACGTCCCCCGCACACTCCAGTGACACTCTCATCCAAAAAGAGCATCAAAGCAAGAGGATGGAAAGATGTGAACATTAATAGAGACAGACAGACGCAAGGGCAACAGAGGACGAAAAGAGAAATAAATAAATCGGTACACTCACGCACCCCACTTGCATCTCAGCCCGTGTACGGGCCCTCATCTTCCACGAACAATGCCTCATCACCATGACGCAACTCATTTAAGACATCATTCAAAACCAACTCAGCCGCAAGTTGTTCTCGTATCCGTTCGAGAACCGGCCAGAACTGCATCTCCCCGCGCAGTATGTCCTCCCGAAACACCTGTATGAATGGAGGCTGCGCCTGAAAAAACGCGACAACGTCCGAGAGAGAGGCGGTAGGAAAGACCTTTATCACGTCGCCCACACCCATCTCACCTTCGGAAAGGAAGTCCCAGACGTATTTCTGCCACGGTGTAAAGTAAACAACAAATGACGCAAGACGCCACCACTCTTGCAAAACGGCGTGACAGAGACGAGCTGGTAGAGAAGTACGGCCGGCCAGTTGCAAGAAGAGTAATTGCGAGACTGAACATTCCGAGACAATAAAACACTTGATGTGAAACAACTCCCGCAAACGTTCAAAGCTGTCGATCTTCCCATCCGAGCGCCTGCCGACGCATCCCATGACCGGTGGATCATACGGCACTACAGAACCATTCAAGTCTTTTGCCAGCAACGGGTATCGTTCAAAGAGAATGGGCATGGAGGCAAAAGAGGCGGCCACCGCACTGTACACAAGCACACTGGGAGCCGTGAGATAATTTAGCAGACGCAGCGGCGGAGAGGTGGTGTAGATACTGCCTAAAGTTTCGGGGGTGTATTCAATGTTCAGCACACGTCCAGTAAGTCGATAGGCCTCAAGAAAGGTCAAGTCTCCCACGTGCTCCTGCACAAACTCCACAAGCACGTGAATGTTGAGAAAATGGCCCACGTCCCAAAAGCGTTGCCAGCTCCAGTCAAAGAGTCCAAAAACTTTATTACTGAATACATCAAACTCAGCATCCTCCATCTCAAAAAGCTCCGTCAAATTTCGCTTGCAACACAAAAACGCTGCGACAAGAGCACCAGTTCCTCCGCCACAAAAAAGCTGTGGCAGCAAATTGGCCTTCCAAAGTGTCTTTGCAGCCCCAAGATGAAATCGCCCCATTAGCATGTCCCCGTGAAAAACAAGTGTGGTACGACCATACACGCGGGCCGCCTGCACCAAGGTGGAGTACTTTTTCCTAGAATCTACCGTGGTGTCATGGGCAAGCTTTTGAATCAAGTACACAAGCAAAGAGTTGTAAGCCTCAATGACGGCCTTGGTACCCGAGAGGTACCTGTAGAGGTTGGGGTTCGTTATGCCAAACACGGAGCGCTGCAGACTCGTGAGCACCGTCAACAACGCCTCCACGTCTCCCTCCCTCTTCAGCGCCGTCAAGAGCCCAATACGGGCAAAAAGTCCATGAAAGTTCATGTACCCTGGCTCCTCTCGCAGTCGCCAGGCTTGAAACCCGTTCAAGTTATCTAGTTGGCGAGCAATGATTATCCACTCCTCGTACGTGCGGGCCGCCCTCGCCCGCTTTGTCAGCACCAAGTGCGTCGGCGAGCCCAGCGGAATACCAAATATGCCAGCAAAAACCTCCCACAAAAGATACAACACACTCCACAGAACCCATATGCACCGGTGAAGCAATCCTTGACTCATTCTTCCCGATAAAAAGGACAAGAAAAAAGGCCACGCCCGCAGCAAAACTACTCTTCCCCTGCAAGCACGTAGAAAACAATCCAGCGGGGTAGAACATCGGTTGATCCTTACTGCACGCAGCAAAATCACTCAACGCAAAGAGTAACACAATATACATGTATCCTTGCGGACAAACGTACAAAAAGTGAGAAAGAGGAACAACTGTAAAAGTAAAGCAAACGGCAACTTCCAACACCGTTCAACGTCTTCCAAACAGGTTTTCGTCATCCACGCCAGGGCCATCCTCTAGATACCGCGTTAAATGTTCTGTACCGCCCATAGTGCCATAGTTTACACTACCCTCCATGATTTGCCCCACTCGTGGGTTCACAGTATAATCGTACATGGAGTCAAGATCCGCGGCAGACGCCACACCTCTATCCTGCAGCGACCCCTGAGTCTTGTGAAAGGCTCTCGGGTACGGAATTCTGTAGTGGAGACCGATCTCGTGGCGCATCTCTGCTTCGCGCAGTTTCCGCGGAATAGTTTTCACATCGGTGATGTCGGCATACCTTCGAAAAAGACGCCGTGCCTCCTTCAGCACGTACAGCGCGTCCTCATCCGTTTCTCATGACACAGAAAAGGACGCCTTAAGAAACTTCCTATACCAAGCGAGAACCTCGCCTCGGTACGGGCTGTGCTGTAGCAGCAGCAGAGGTGATTGACTGTACGAGTGCCAGTGGCTTTCCCTCGCCTCCTCCGCCACACACCCGCAGCCCTACCCGGAAGGAGAAGAAAAAAAGGCAAAAATTCTCCCCAATACTGGAGGCAAACGTTAGAGACGCGTTGCACCCTCACGGAGAGAGCGAAGAAAGGAGGCAACACACAGACAGACGCACCACCAGCCAAAACAGGTAATAATTCATTTTGTTTGTAAAAAATAAAAATACAAAAGAAACATATGTCTCTCTTCACTTGTAATATCCCCCAGAGCGTGAAACAAGCAGGAGAGCCAGAGAATAGTTACTGATGCCGCTCCCTTCTTTCTTTTGTTTTTTTTTCTTTCGCACGTCTCAATACACCACGCCTGACTTCGCCACTCAAAAAAAAAAAGAGAGAGAGAGAGATAGAAAGAGAGGTAAAAGTAGTGAAATGCAACAAGGCAGAAGCCTTGGGATTTTATTATTTATTTTTCCCTGCATCCTGCGATTTGGGACCCGGGTTTCCCCATGCCGCTGAAGAGCAAATACGCCCCACACAGCGCCCACCGCAACACCTCACAAAGGCGGTAGACAGGAAGTAGGAGAGGGAAGGGGGGCGCCAAAAAGGCCGTGAACTTTTACACAACCACTTCGCTCGTGTCCGGACGGAGCATCCTTATTGGCAGCGGTGGCCCGCTAAAACTGCCACCCCAATGACGAATGACAACCCACGCCGCGGCGTGGCCTGCCTCCAATGTTGGGGGTGAGAGACATACTGCGCCAGAAACCCACTGCAAATGCATCTCCGGCGTCACTCATATTTACGATGCACGCACGGTCCACCTTAGGCACAGGAGAAACAAAGAACCCGCTTCCGGGCGCTACAAACGTACTATCCACACCGCAAATGCAAACAGCAAGACGGAAATGGCACGCATTCCTCTTGGGTAGGCGGGCCCCACGCACCAGTAGTATCTCCTTAATGTCACCTTCAACCTCCTCACCCCCCACATCACAGCACCGAATGCAAGAAAGTCCTCCTTGGATCCAAAGAGAATGTCTGTGTATGAAAAAAGGAGTTTGACGCGATCACCAAAAGTGTAGCCTATACACGGGGCACCGGGGTTAAAGCACAACAAGTTCTCCCCACGGTACGCATGTTCAACCACCAACAGAACATTGTCAGGACTAGAAACAGTGCCAATAAAAAAATATAAAAAAAAACTCCACGTAGAATAAGCTGGCGTTTGTGATGACTTGTCCCACCCCCAAGCTCTTCATGTGCCGCAGAGCGAGATGTGTGGCGGCGCCAAGGTTAGCCAGCATGGTCCGCCCGTTGTAGACAATCAGTAGGGCGCAGATGCCGGTTGGGCTGTTCTCATTGAACTCGAAGAGATGCTCCAGTCTGGCGGTCTCCAGGGCACTTGTGAGGATTTTGCAGAACTGATCGCACCCAATCCCACCCACAAAACAAGCCTTTTATCTCGAGACAAATCCACTCCACCGTGTGCGCCGTGTTCATGACGGTCCCACCAGGGTTGTAGACGGTGTTTTCGCTTCCACCAAGGTCTGCAAAATAGGTGGCTGTTCGGGCTTGGCCAGCAAGACACAGTCCTTACAAATGCCGTAAGACGCCAAGTGCCCCACCGAGCCGATGTGCAGCATGTCCAGCAGCGGGTGACCTAAAAACAGGCCGCTGGCGCCCGTCCCCTTCGTCCGCATATCTGCCTTAGTCGCGCATCTTGCCGAGCACCCCACGTTGATCCCCCTCTGCAGATCAAAAGAGGCCCAAGAAGGAAGAAAGGACGAGAAAAAAAAAAGCGTGAAGGAGAAAAACAAAAATGATAATAACAACAATGATAACTCTCGAAAAGACAAAAGATGACAACAAAAATAAAAACAAAACAAAAAAGACGAAAAAACGGCGTGGAGCTGTCGCAGGATCGCTCCACGTCTTCGCCTCCGCCACTCACCCTGCAAAGCCGCGCGCATTCCAAAAGAAAATACACACACTCGAGCGATACGCCCGTACCCCATGCAGGGGTCAGGAAATGGACACAAGCGCAACACATTACGCAGCAGAAGCAGAAGCAAAAAAAAAAAAACGATAGTGATAATAACTTCAAACTTCAAATAAAAAAAAAAGGTTTTCCCTCTTCCAACGTAACCATTCCACCTCGGCACATGTAGGCCCATCTCCTTACTGAAAGGGTCATCGGCATCATCCTCTCTTTTAGTGCGAGGATGTAGAGGTTGAACCCGAGCGTCCTTGTTGGATTCGTTTCCTCCGCCGAATGGTGGTAGTAGGAGAGGGGGGGGATAGAAATCACCATGTGCGTCTTCCGTGGCATATTTTCCCGCTCTCCGAGTGGGGAGTATATATATATATGAGAGAGAGAGAGAGAGGAAGAGGCACAAAAAGAAAGAAATTCACATGACATCCCTTTCTTTTTGTGCCTCTTCTCCTTTCCTTGGAAAGGGGCTTGGCAACTCGCTTGGGAAAATGGACAAACGGCAGGTCATGCACACTTTGGAGTTCAGCAGATACAGATTCTCACGTGCCTCTTCAAGCTCAGCGCTGAGTTGCTGCGCAATGGCTAACTGCTTATTCATCTCCTCCAACGCCTCATTTTTGCGTTCATTGTAGTTTGCCCTAAGGAGCTCATCCTCTTCTTCCAGTTGCTGCAGCGTCCCATTCAGTACCTGGTTCTGCTTCTCTACCACCAGCACATTGTTCTTTAGGCGATACAGCTTTTCCTGCATCAAGGCCTGTTCCGTCCTCATCTTTCCACGCTCCTTTGCCAGCTCCTGATGCGCGGTGAGGAGATCCTCCGTCTTGGCGTGAAGCTCCTTTGCCTGCCAGATGTTTTGCCGCCCAGTTAAACTCGTCTCATTGGCAACGGCGTTATGCAGCCGCGCCATTTCCTCCTCCGCTCTCGTCACCTGCAGCTGAAGCTCAAGCAGCATCGCCGCCGTCTGCTTCTTCGCCTCAACCAATTCAGACGCCCTTGCATTGAAGGTATCATTGAGCTTTGCCGACTCGTATTGAAGATAATTGATGGTCCGCTCCTGCTGCGACGTAGTCTGCTCAAGTGCCAGTGTCTCCGCCTCCAGCACAAGACGCTCACACTCCAACTTTTCCACTTTCCGCTGCAGGCTTGTCACGTTGTTAGTGCAACTCACAATTTCATTCGTAAGGATGTCTAAGGATTCAATTTTCCTTGCAATAGCCTCTTGCAGCCCTTTCCCCTTTGCTTCTTCCTCCGGGCCAGCCTTCTCCATTACTGCCACTGCGGCAACGGTGTCGGCGTGTTGCCTGTCGAGCAAGCCTAGGGAGCCCCCCAGCGTCCGCAACTCCTCCCGCATCGCCTCCTTCTCCTGCCGCATCTCGTCGACCACCCTCGCGAGTCGTTTGTTTCCCGACTCCGTGTCGCTGCAGCGCATAGACAGCATGCGGTGGTCCCGCTCCAGTTCTGCCGTCGCATCCATGACCTCCTTGTAGCGCTGGCTGTCGAACTTTACATCCTTGCTGGCGTCCTGCAGCTGCGACTGGATGGCTTCAAGCTGTGCCTTTAGTGCGGCTTCACCCTTTTGAAGCGACACGACAGCTTTTGTGCCCCATTCAAGTATGAGCAGTGGATCGTGTTTGATTGCCTCAAAATCCCCACGCGTGAGCAAAGGTGCGGCGTAGTCTTCGTGCATGGCGTCCACCCCAACCTCAGAAGCGGAGCAATAATGCGGTGGTCAACGCACACAGGCCGTGTAAGCAGAAAGAGAGGAGACGTGGAGAAGGGAAAGCACACCGCAACCAGACAAAAATGAAAAAGGAGGCGAAAAAAGAAAAGACCGTGTTGTATTGTATGTTGTGATGTTCTTGAAGAGTGCAAATACACTGTTCTGTCCTGGATGAACGCGCATCCTACCCGGACCTTCGTGTTTCACTTTTTTCTCCCCTTTCTTTCTCTTTTTACACGTTTGTTGATGCGCTGCCGTGCTGGGATTTGGGCTTCGCGAGTGCTCCCACAGCACCCACACCAAAGAAGCCACACATGCAGTCAAGAGACACCATACACTTACACTGAAGCACTCACTACAACTCACAGTATGCCATTTTGCAGTGTTTGAAACTGATCATATCGCCGCGTCCGCCAATTATCAACACTTTCCGCAATAAGCTCCTTCACGTAGAGAGCAAAATCTGTCTCGGTCTCCAAGTCAAAACGAAAACGCGAGCGCAGCTGCTGAACGGCGCCCATAGGATCGCTTCCAAAACACGCCATGGTATTATACGGGGTCATGAGCGACACAAGGCCCAAAATATCCTCCGCACGTTCCCGCACCGCCACCATGCCTTGATACAGCAGCACCTTAAAGTAGTTGAACATGTCACTTTCAACACCCCCCATTACCTCCATCAGCTCCTGTGAAAGCTTAAACGGGGCGGATTCAAAATTTATCCCCCCAGGTGACGTCACAAACATAAACCCAAAGTCAATGTGAACCAAATGCCCCTCACTCGTAAGCATCAGGTTGCCGTTGTGTCGATCCTTGACCTGAAGCATGTAGGTCACAATGCTGTACCCTGCCATGGTTTCCACAAAATTCGACACCGCTTTGGAATGTCTTTCAGAACTCACTGGTCCAAAAGCCTCATTAAAGAACTGTGCCAGACTTGCAACCGAACATGATTTTTTGATGTTGTCAATCGAGCAGGCGCCCTCTACACATTCAATGACCCCTGAATCTGTGGAAATAGAAAGGGCTCGATGGGGGCGAACCGAACACGTGAGTCCGGCCTCCTCCCAAATCTGGTTAAAGATATTGATTAGCTGCAAGGCCAACTCTTCCTGTCGCAGATCATCCCCAGCTTTAACAACAATGGAGACCATGCCCCAGTTGGGGTGCCTCCCAAAGACAGATGTTTTTCGCATGCGTGCGACACGCTCCTCTGGTGTTTCTCCAAACGCGCACGCAAATGTGCCGCGTTCTCCTCCACCCTGTGCACTCCTACTACTCCTCACCTCTTTCGCCTCGCCCAAACCTTGTCGCACGTCTGATGGGGCAAAGACATCATCAAAGTCCTCTGTAATTTTAAAGGAGCCATTGGCCAAACGCAACTTGGACGCCATTGGGTCACGCATCGTCGTAGTGTCGTCAACGATGACTTCGCAGCAAAGCAGAAACGGAGCCCGTTCACGTGAAGAGAAGACAACACATTCATCTACAGCAATGTTTACAATCCACTTGACGGAATCGGCAACGCCACCAAAAGGATAGATAAGTGCCTGGGTGCTCAGTGAGTTGTTGAGATCGTGCAATTTCCTTCGCAACTCGGTTTGTCGCCTGCGCTTGTCCGGGTACTGGCACAGCTGGGAGCTCCAGCCAGTGATAGTGCTAAGAAACTGCCTCTCTCCGTTGTATAGCTTGAGCCGCAACTCCTTCCGCCCAACCTCTACCCCCAATCCGGCCTCGTGGTTGTCACCTCTGGCGTCCCACCTGTGGTTAATCGCAACACTCTCAATCTTGTCCTGAATCTCCTTCACACGGCCCCCGAGCCCCAGCGTGTCAAATACACCCCACACGGAATCCACCGCCCACGACATTCGCAGGGCGTCGATAAACGACTGGGAAACCAGCAAGAGCATAAAGTTGCGCAATAGGTTCTGCACCTCCGGATCACTGTGGGTGATGCATACGTGAGACACCTGCAACAGGACCTCCTCCAGCGCCAGCAGCGGGATGTTGTAGAGGCCATTCACGAGTGGCACCTGTTCGCTAAAGGAGGCAGTAGACAGGCCGAGTAATCGTTCCACCAACTCGTGTCGGTGCTGTGACAAATTTGTTGTTTCCCGCATTGCTCTTGTCCTTTGTTTTCTTATTCCTCTTCTTGTGTGTATGTGTGTGTTGAGGCTAAGATGCAAAGCGTGGTGAAGCAAAAAAAAAAAAAAGACAAATTACGCCTCTGAGCCCGGTCCTTTTAAAAAGCATCTCCCCACCACCACCGCGCGTTCTTACAAAGCTAAAAGGAAGTAAAAGTAGCAAACAAGCGGACACATAGTTTTACATATTGACAGATAAACGCACATCACAACATGTTATGTGATGCGTCAAACAGGACGACGCAAAAAAGAAAAAAAAAAAACAGCAATAACAACAACAACAACAATACGAAGGAAATCCAAAACAAAATAGCACCAGTTGATAATAATGATGATAATAATAGAAATGGTAACGCAACACATTTTCTACATTTGACTCAAAAAATGCATCCATAACAGAGGTGTCAGTAATACAGTCATCCAGTTATTGTACATGGTCCCCAATGCGCAGCTGGCTACAACTATTTATAGATAAATATCGGTTTATGTATATAGGTTTATTTACATTTCTAGTGGGATGAACAAACTAAGCCCAACAGTCATCAATTCTTTGTTTTAAAACACACTATCATTCCGTTTTCGAGCCTTGCTGACACACAACCATCTCCTTCTTAAGAAAGGCCCCACGCAATGACGCTGAGGCTACCTTCACCTTTTCGCAGACCCCATTCTCATCATTGCTGTACTGGGAAACAACTGCAAGCGTCCTGGCCTCCGCGGGAAAGTCTGGCAAAAGCCGGACGGGGCGGCGATCCTTCCCCACACTCTTCAGTATTTCCTCTACATCCGAAATAAAATCCAACGACAAGGCCTTCCGGCGCAAGGCATTTGCGTACGGCACGTCAATGCGAGCATTATACGGCTGCAAGGCCTTTACTGGTGGACTCGGCGTCAAGGTTGCACCCACAGCAGTTTTGCCTCCGGAAAGGGGTGGAAACTTGTGTGCGGCACGTGACAGAAGAACCCCAAGGAGGTAGGGAATATTAGGTTTGCATCCGTCGGCGTCTAACTGGTACAACAAGAGCGTTGCCACAGCCGCAACAAAGTCCTCAAACGTGATGGCATCCGTTTTGCAGGAAGCAATCTCTATATCATTGAGCTCGTCAACAGTCCGCCCATCCAAGTACGTCTTTAAAAAGGATGCACAATCACCCCACTGAGACACCAGAGTCTCAATACATAGCTCAACGCATGCCGAATCAAACTGCTCAAACGTCATCCCAGCTTCCGTGGTGTGGTTAGCAAAGATGTTTTTTAACTCCCGCACATGTAAGAGAGGAAGGACCTCTACTAAGGGCTCCGCCACGAAGAAAACCTCTTTTGAGCAAAATACCGTGTCACCAGAGCCATCGCGCAGGGATATCACGGCCCTCGTGATAGGAGAAAGGGTTAGTATACCTTTGTCCCCCTCTTCAATGAAGCGAACATGTGTTGTGGAGACTGAGACGTCCCAAATGGAGGGTGGAATGACGACTTCCACTCTATTCGGCCCCCGTTGAATGGCCATAACACGATCCTGATTTAAGTACACGGTACAACGCCTCATGCCATAGATTGGCAAATCGTATCCCGCCTGGTTTTGCTCATTCATCTCTTCTTCAAGCAGCTTTGACGCCAGTCCTGCGATGGAGGAAGGCCAACATTCAGAGCTAGGCATCGCACGTTTACCGTTAGAGTACTTCCGTACCTTGTCATATTGCAAGATACGTGGCGGGAAGTCGTGCGCCAGCTCCACTTCGGTTCCATCGCGGCCATTCACGGTCAAGTTCCACCCACCAATGATAAACGAGGACGTCTTGTCGATGGGCACCGGTGAAGGAAACAGCAGGCTAATAGCTGGAAGAATCGTGGCATATTTGTTCTCCACAATAGGATCAGCCACCATTGGTGCGTTCATAAACTTGCTGTAGTAGTCCTCAAAAACAGACCACACCTTCGCCGTGAGTGGTCGATGGTGCTCGTACTTTGACTCATCGGAAAACGCCACGATCCCCAACATCAAAAGTGTCTCTGCAAAGGAATCAAGTTCCAACGCCGCAACTCTCCCCCTGGGAAGTTCCAATGAAGAATGCTCCATTAAATTATGAATGCCAGAGAATCCACAGTAGTCAAAGACAGAGTTTGCGCTTTTTCTCTGGATACTGGTAAAGTTTGGAAACACGTCGCTCACCATTTTCTCAAAGGCGGCACGGTAAATTCGCCCAGAATCCGCGTAACGCCTGAAAAGCGGAAACACAATAGCCTCCGAGGCGGCAGCCATAACATGAGTCACAAACTGATTGGTGTAGGGTGTCCAGTCGTTTTTCATGGAGTTCAGCGACACCACAGACCTCTTTAGCACGGTGCAGCGACTAATCAGGGGTTTAAAATACCGGCGTCCGGCGTAAACCACGCTCTCCTTTAACTGCACTTTATCCTCCGCGGACAACCTAACAGCGTCTAGCACAGGAATGTTTTCCTCTAAAAGCTCCGTGCAGCGCTGCGTCTGATAGCATCTCAGACAGGCGACGTTCATAATGGCAAGAAACCCGTCGAAGTCAACCGTAAGATCATGCAGAGAAATATCGCTTTTCGAAGTGACACCATTCGCACTCGGTTGCTGCGGCTGCCCGTAAATAAGCCAAAGAGGTTCCAGCAAGACCTGATACACCCCAGTTGTGGGCCCAAGGAGGCCAGCGGAGCGTAGTAGCATCAACAGCCCGCAGTACCGCAGACGCTGCTGACGAAGCGACTCGCCATGGCTAAGGGCGATGTCAAAGAGCAAAACCCAATTACACTCCGCCGCCTTGCTTTCCATCCCGCGTTAGCGTTCTCGCCTTCAGCAAAGATGGAAGGAGGACGCCGAGTCGAAAAAAAAAAGGAGAGGGGGAGGGGGGGCAAAACCTAAAAAATAAGCAAGCAAAAAAAAAACACGGATAAATAAAAGATGAATGAACCGGGACGCATACGAAGAGGCATATTTTGTTAGCATCATCGTTTTTGTTATTGTTATTGTGTGTTTGTTTGCTTCAACATCCCGCTTCTTCGGCCTCTCCAGTAAGCGGCAGCAAGACCCATGCAACATATCAAAGGAGAATTTAAAAGAAAAAAAAAGGAAGGGAGGAGGCTGAAAGGCGATCCATAAGACTCTTGTCACTTTTTTAGTTTGATGTCTTCCTGCTTATGGAATGTAACATCTTCTGAGTCGTCATCCGCGGCCGTGAAGGGCAAAACATAAAGACGAAAGAGAGCGCACGAGAAACGGAAACACGCCCGCACCCATCCACTGCAGCCACCCTGCAGTATATAATCGCTCAGCGTATGAGGCATCACCATCCACCAATGATGTCCTCGCAATTTTTCGCGAGAGCAGCGTTTGTTGGGTTTTTCGCGGTTGTAAGCCAACACACCAAAAAGAAAAAAAAGACAGAAAAACGTGCAGTCAAAGCAGATAACTGTGCGTTACATTTTCCCCACAAGCTGCTAAGAAACAACAACTCAAAACAGATAAAAAAAAAAGACAACAACATAAATCCATATATACATATATATGTATATGCATGCATGTATGTATAACAAGACAAAAGAGCGAACACGCCTACTTGAATATATGCATTGGTATGTGACGAGTTCAAACATGCTTCTATTCTTTTACACGTGCAGATGCACTATGCGTGTATGCGGTGGCGTGATACACAAACTGCGAGTCTTTTTCAACGGTATTTGCTCTTCGCCAACTCCCGCCTGCTGCGCAAAACCCTGTTTGGGAAGGAAGTGGTAGGAGAGGGAGAGAGAGAGAAGGGCAAGGAGCTACAATGAAAGATTCCCTCAAATTTTTGTGTACTCTTTTTTTTTTGTGTTTTTGCCGTTATTTTTTTATCGCTCATTTCGGATTTGTGCCTTCGCCGTTTTTGTCATTCTTTTGATTTGTTATGTCGGACGCATCACCGCACAATTTCTCCTGCATCGTCACCACACAACACCAGAGAAAACAAATGATATGCCGAATGCATTAAGTGACTCAAGGCCCTCACACTCCCCTCACACCACCCGAGTCAGTGTATTTAACCCGCCACCCCGCAAGTATAAGAAAGGCAGAAAAGGAGGGAAAGAGGGAGACCAGTGTTAGCCATGCCAGTAGAAAATTTTGTGACCCAAAATACACATACAGTAACCGGCAAATTAAAAAGACAAAAAAAACAACAACAACAACAACTCAAGACCACCTTTGAAGAAATGGGTTGCAGAGCTCGTCTGAGAAGTCTGTACTCTCTCCCTTTGCCGTCTCAGCCGCCACTAACTTCTCAGTGCTTGTTATACTACTGCCAAAAGAATTCGGTGGTCCACTGGGTGACGAACCATTGCGGTTTGAGTTCAACAAGACAGGTGGTGATGGCTGGAAAGGCACAGCTCCCGTGACGCCTGTTTTTGCTGGCGTTGCTCCAAACAGCAACGCGCTTGGCGCCCCCGCGTCTGGCGGAGGTGGTCCACCAATAAAGTGTTTCATAGGGGCAGGAGGAGAAACCTTAGTTTCAGCGTTAGCCGCTGGCGAGCGACACACAAGCCCCGAGGCGTTGTGTCTGTCCGTGCCTTGCGCTGGTGTAGTGCTTGGGGTCGCGCCGTTGTCGGTCTTCTCAGCACCGGTGCTATGTGTGTTCCCATGCTGATCCACCTTCTTGCGTTTTTCGTCGTGTTCCGTCACTTTGCCCTCCTCCGCCTTCGCTTTTGACGTCTCCCACACACCCCTGCCCACGCCTGCCACAGCTATTAAAAGCACGGTCCCAACCCAATTCCATACTCCCCGAAGTTCAATGTGTACCGCTTCCTCTTCAGTGGTCGGTTGCCTCCCCAAGAGTTCAGCAGCCTTTTGCCCAGCTTCATTGCCCTTCTTCGCTGACACTTCAGGTGGTTTGTACTCAATACCCAATTCCTCGCTCAGCGTGGCGACGGCAATGGTCAGGCTCGACATCGCAGCATGGAGGTCGGAAAAGGCTTCATGACATTTGGTAGATAGCGTCCCTGCCACTAAACACAAATTAAGAATTTGTTCCCTGGCTGTAGTCACATAACTTTTCAAGTCGTCAGTCCGAGAACTCAAGAGATTCAGGAAACTAGCGCCCTTGTTTCCCTCTAAGTATTGCTTCTTCACAAAATCTCGGATGTCCATCCCTGCTTGACGTCTCCCTTCCGCCTGGCGCTTCATTTCCGCCTCCTCCTCCGCCTGACGCTTCCTTTCCGCCTCCTCCTCTGCCTGGCGCTTCACTTCAGCCTCCTCCTCCCCTGACGCTTCCTTTCCGCCTCCTCCTCCGCCTGGTGCTTCATTTCAGCCTCCTCCTCTGCCTGGCGCTTCATTTCCGCCTCCTCCTCTGCCTGGCGCTTCCTATCCGCCTCCTCCTCCGCCTGGCGCTTCCTTTCCGCCTCCTCCTCCG